TCGGGTCAAATATTGAAAAATTATGACCCCTACGATATAATTGACCCCGAGTATAAATTTTACCCTGGGGTTTATTTGGATAACAAGGCTTGTTGCAACCGGGCCTTTTTTTATTATTTTTTTTCTTGGAAACGCTATAACCTATTTAATGAGAAAAAAAATAATTCGGGATATTTTGGTTGCAAATAAAGATCAAAATCCGATTTTTTTGTCGTTCAATGCGAAAAAATGAAAATCTTCTTTGACGCCTAATAGAAAATAATCGTCTATTTTATTCAACAAATTCCATTATTTATTTATGAAAACAAATGTTTAATAAAATACTGATACTTATTAGGCGCAAATTTTATCGAATTGTCCTCGCTCAATTTAGTAGACAAATTCGAGAACTGAGAGTATCCAATTCCATAATCTGAACAAAAATGTTGCCGGGGATGAACTACTTAAAGTAGTTACGGAACGCTCCTAAATTCCTCCCAATGATTTTTTCCATGGGTTTTCTGTGGTTTCCCATGCTACTCCTATGTTCTATAGGAGTGCGAATGCGGTGCAGTGTAGAATCCACAGCCGCATGCATAGGGTTGGATAGGGCCGATTAGCCAATCAGAGGGCAGAAAGAGCCGGAATATAAAAAAAAAAAAGACACTAGGCCATGGGGAACTTTTCTGGCGAATATGAGGTTACAGGACGAGCCGAAGGCGAGTTTTGTACTCATATGAGGTAGAAAAGTTCTTCACGGCCGTGTATCGAACAATATTTTTTGTCATTGGGCCCGAAACCCACGATTTAACCAAGCGAAGCCAGTTAAATCGCGGTTTATCAGGCCTAGTGACGAAAAGGAACATTTTTCTCACGACTGTCAACCCCTATTTTTCATCACAACGTGTGATAAGTGGCTTTTTAACGAAAAAAGCGCACGTGGAGCGTGTGTAAAATGTCAGTTTACGCACAAGTGATGAAAAAATTCTAAAACCATTTTCTTGGAATTATATCATCCTGGGGAACATTCCGAAATTTTCTCAGCATTTTTCTCGAATTATAAACTTGCTATGTACAATCTATGTGTGAGATTGATTGACGAGGACGGAGGGTTAAAAAAATTGGATTGTTTCAGTGGATTAAATTTACGAGAACAATTATGAGGAGTCGAATACACAATTTATTGATTTCATCTTAGAATTCAAATTTATGATTTCCAGCTTTTTCAAATCCAGGATGAGAGGTACAAATTATTGTGAATGAATGTGAATGGTGTCCGGTGATAAGTGAGCTGATGACTGACACATTATTAAAATGCACTCTAGATGTAGTATGCGGGTGCAGGTGCGTAGGCGTAGGCGAGCGGTGCGGTGTATGCGAGCGGTGCAGCCGCGAGGGTGTTGTAGTTTCTGACAATGGATTGACTGCTCGATGCTACTGGGTAGGCCGCCGGGACGGCGTAGGCCGTGGCGAGCAGGGCTCCTGGCGCTGGCGCTGGAGCTGGGGCTGGGGCCGGGGCCGGTGCCGGGTTCGGCGCGGCGGCACTGACGGCGAGAATAGCGAGGAAAACTCCCTGGAAATAAACACAATATTAATAACGCATTCGGGATATTGATGGACAGGAAGCAATTTTCAAATTTCGCTGCATATCAAATTATGTCGATAACGAATCATTTTAGGAGAAAACGTCAAAAGACAATTTTGACAAAATGTTTTCTGACATTTCCTCTGGAGGTACTTCTTTCGAGATGATTTCAATATGACCAAGCATATTAATTTCAAATTTTTAACCAACAAATTTGTCAATTAAATTGCAAGAAAATCATTTAGAAAAATTCATGGATAATGACAACGATTTGAATCACATTTTGTAAAAAAAATCACTCATCTTTTAATATGTCTGTTGATTGAGTAAATGATGGAAATTGTTCAAAATTTTGGAAACCTCAACATTTTAGTATCAAATCAATTTTTCTGTAAAACTGTGAAAGAGGAATTAATTAATTTCATTTTGGAAAATTGTTTTTTAATATTCATGAAACAACTCTTTACTTCCGATAATTTTTCCTCGATAATTCTGAATTTTCCGCGCCAGATTCGGGAAATTTTTACGGTATTCAATTAACACTGAAATTTCAGGAAATCTTGTCATTAAAAACTCAAATATTCCATAGATTTCCTGTTCGAATGATTTGAAAATCAATAACATGCTGGATTTTTCCGTTCTATTATTTCGTGAAAATTCCATCAACTTGTGAAATTTCCCTCACTCCCACTGAAAACTCATGAATTTCCTTGAATTTTGCCCAAAACGTTGAATTTCATAACTACTTGTCCCGGAAACCCGATTTAATGTCACTCTCAAAAGAATTACATATCTACCATGAAATTTCAAAAAATTTCCAACACTCTACATATTGCCATTTCGCTATTAAATTTATGAGTTGCCATTCCACTCTGCCAATTATCATTTTAATAATAAACTAATAATTACACTAAAAGAATAAATAAATAAAATGATATGAAATAAATAGAATAAATGAAAAAATAAATGAAAGGGTTTATAAATTATAATTTTAATAATAATAAATACTCACAAGTTTGAACATGTTGATTGCTTTGCGTGTCTGCTTCGTACTGCAAAAGAGTCAACTTGAGAACTGTGATGAGCCATAGAGAACCCCTCCAATTTATACCGCGCGAAATAGCCAACCCCTCCAGAATCGCAGCGAGATTTTTCAGCAACGATGAAAGAAAACCAGTTGGTACCACCCAGCCACTGAGGTACGAGGAAAGAATGCGTCCCTTTGTTCTTCAAGTTACCGAGAAGAGGGAACACTTGTACAGCATATGGTAGGTATCTCAGGCTGTCCATGAGCAGTCATTACTTTTTCACCAAGTTCTTCCCCTCCACTAGGTGCCTGTCCATTCCAGTGTTTTGTAAACTTCCTGAACGACGCTAATTAATGCATATCCGAGACATACGAGACTCCTAGAAACATCTGTACAACGAGTGTTCACCCTCGGGATATTTTTTTCATGCCTCGAATAATGTACTTCCCTCGTGGATTCTCGTAACCTTGCCACGCGTATCACTGCAAATAGGGTTACCCAACTGATCCTCGAATTACGTAATTTTGTGTTATCGCCATGGGGCCGAAGAGTAGGTACAAGCACATATTGTGTATCTATTCAAGGTCACAATAATGGATAATAACGCGAGGTAAGCATGGGGAATGACGGATTAATCATTGCATGTCAATAATAACGTGTACGTAGTTGACCTCAAGTCAATCAGAAATTATCAGGGGATTCTAATCACCTTGGTGGCAACTCAATTCCACGTGGAACGCGATTTTCACACCATAATTTGTGTAAATTCCAAATACCGTATATTTGAATGGAATTTGAAATAAACGATGATGGACTTGAATTCATTCGAGTGCAATTTTTTAAGAGAATTCAAAAATTCAGGCTAAATTGAAAATAAATAAAATTCGTCGAATGCAATTAATATTCAGAATACGTCATATTGAAAAAGAATTTGAAAACACCCCACTGGGAGCAATAGTTCGATGAATTGGAATTCATTTAAATGCAATTTTAGGAGGACAAATTGTAATACTTATAAAATAAAATAATTGCAAAATACGCAGTTGATCAGAGGATGCTAATCCCCCAGATGGGAATTCAATTCCACGTGGAATCATGATATTCTCAGAAAACAAGTGTAAATCAATTCCAAATAAATAAATTGATCAGGCCAGGCTTGAAGTAAAAATTTCCGCAGAATGCGTACCATGCACAACCTTGCCGAGTCCTCTATAGGAGCAACGCTGGTCTCCTGGGAGGGGAGTGAATGCAATATGAAAAGAATTCACTCCGAATTAAAAGCAAATAAAATTCGTCGAATGAAAATTATATTTAGAATATTTCACATTGAAAAAGAATGTGATATAAATCACTATTTTTTGTAAATAAATACAAAAAAAGCAAATTTAGCCATGTAAGAGAGGAATTTAAAAAAAATAGCTCGTAGTTGTTATTCCACATAATTTTCCGAAAAATTTGGAAAAAAAATCCTTCGTAGCTCAAAAATTGGAGAGCCTGGACTGTTTTTGGCATTTTAAGCGTTTTTGGGCAAACAAACAATAAAAAAAAAAATTTTTACACTAATTATTCGTTTTCAGATCTATATAATCGATCTTCAACGTATGAAAAGTCTCACTCCAATAACCCACGACTTTTAACACTCATAGTAGTCTCCCCTTAAAGTAAGTTTAACGTGATAACTGGAGAACCCATATAGGCGTATGCTCGTTTCGTATTTCAGATTGATCTGTTTAATGTATAGAATATAAATCTTGTCTTTTGAAGTAGATTGTGTTTGTGACATTTCTTTTTGTTACACTCTAACCACACAGCCACGGCCGTCGGTCCAAAGTTTAATTAATAAAATCCTTACAAAATGAATCGGAAACCATTCAATCTCAACAATAATTCGTACGCAGTTGACCTCAACTTGATCCGAAATTATAGAGGATTCTAATCCCTCGCATGGTAATTCAATTCTACGGAGAATCATGATATTCTCAGCCACCAAGTTGTGCAAATTTAGTTCAAATAAATAAATTAATAAGACTTCTCTATGAGAGCAACAGCTGTCTCCGAAGGAAGGGGGTAAATGCAATAAAACATTCAATCGAAATCAAAAGCAAATAAAATTCGTCGAATATAGTTTATATTCAGAATACAGCATATTGAAAAAGAATTTGAAGTAAACCCCGACGGGACAAATAGTTCGATGAATTGGAATTCATTTGAATGCAATTTTAGGAGGACGAATTGTGACACTTTCACGTTGTCACACTGGACAAGAATACGTACACAGGGTTTTGTAATTTCACGAGGTATGATTGCGCGTGAGGACACCTTGAAGCCATTTTCGAGTGGCGGGGCGGATTCAGCTCGGTATAAAATAGTTGAGCCAGACTGGTGTTCTTTACTCGTTCTTCACTCCCCGAAGAAAGACATTCACCGATAAATAAAAATGTTCAAACTCGCTGTAAGTACAGTCTCCCAATACATCAGCGTCATCATTATTTGGAGAATACTGAGTTGATAATTTATTGTTCGTTTATTTTTCCAGTGCATCTGCGCTATTCTGGCTGTGGCCTCAGCTGGAATTGTTCCTGCTGCGCCCATCGTAGCTGCAGCGCCAGTCGCAGTGGCTCCAGCTCCATTCGTCACCTCCAGGAGCAGTCAAGTTGTTGCGAGAAATTACAACACTTTTGCTGCAGCCCCACTGGCTTACTCTGCTCCGGTTGCTGTACCTAGTGCTGTCGCCGCACCACTCGCTTACTCAGCACCAGCAATTGCGAGTCCCTACGCGTACAGCCCGTACGCTGCATACAGTGCCCCATTGACTTATCCCGCTGCTGCGGCTGCTCCATTTCTCTTCAAGTGAACATGACGTTGAAATTTTATGAATAATTGTTGTTCTGAGCCGTTGTAATAAATACAATTGATCGACTTTATATGAGATCTTTTTAATTATTTTATTTTTGCTCATTTGGGTGAATGGGTTTTATTCAATGCAGTGACGAACAGAAGGGGAGGAAGAAGAGAAAACAATCGTCGGGAATCATTCGTCGAGGAACATTGCTTACAGGCATTTTTTATTTAATCTCTGATATATGCACATAAATCGTGACAGAGGTGAGCCTCAACGGGAGTTTAAATAATTATACAATAAATGGTCGTTTTAAAAAATAAAAAGGAAATATAAGACGGAATTCTTTGGGTTCGTCAAACAAAATTCGTTAATTTGCTTTCAACTTCATCACCTCCACATCCGCTAGGCAATTGTATTGGGTTTCTCTCGAACTTTCTGTTCGTTTTTGGTCGATTCTATTGAAATGTTGAATAAAAAATATTCTATAGAAAAAGTCTGAAGAATTCGATTTTTCTATACAACTTATTCTATTGAGATATTTTCAATAGAATTTCCTCGGCTCAAATGTTTCAAGTTTTTTCATTTGATTTTCTTGATGAGAAGAAGAGGAAATCATAATGAAAAAAATTTGAGCCGAAGAAATTCTATGGAAAATTTCTGGAGAGAATAAGTTATATAGAAAAATCGATTTCTATTCAATTTTTCTATAGAGTATTTTCTATTGAACATTCCAACAGAATCGGCCAAAAACCAATAGAAAACTAATAGAAAGCTTAATAGAAATCCAATAGAATTGGCTAGCGAATTCGCTAGGTTTTTCTATGAAATTTTTTCTTGCGTACCGCCTAGGCCAACTCATTGTCATCTAATTATTTGAATCAATTTCAACGATCAAAACTCCATCGAGAGAGAAAGAACTCTAGAAACAGTTATTGGAGATTTGATCCAGACGATCGTTGATGCGAGTTACAAATAACATTGTTTATAATTCACGAAGTTTGATAGAATTAAAAAAAAGGCTATTGGTTTCGACAAATAAATGATTTATTCCCATATTAAAGTAGTATAAACATAACTTGAATCTTGAGAATTAAAATATAAAATCAATTCCAAATGGAAATTGATATGAATAAAAACATTCTAGTCGAGTTCGTGCTCAATTGACAGTCTAGTATTATGAGAAAATTAATTTTTCGTCATTAGAAAAACGATTAATGCTCTTTCACCTCGATTTCCTTTACGTCTATTATTATTATTACTATTAATCTATTATTTATTACTATTAATTACTATTAATTTCTAATTACTATTAATTTCCTTTATTACTATTAATTTCTATTGACTATATAGCAGGAACTCCCCTGCATAAATAATACTATGTATTAAATTGCAGAAATAAATGAATAAATGAATAAAAAAAGATTGAAATGCAGAAGAAATCTTAAAAAATTAAAAAAAAATAAACAAAAATTTTATGCTTAATATGAAAATTATCGTCAGTGTCAAACTTTTGTGATAAATAATTTATGTTTGTGGGTACCCCGAATGTACAGGATACCCTAGCTAAACGAGCAACTATTGTTTAACAAAATAATTGTAGACAGAATTTGATGGATTAATTTTTACTCTCATCAACGTTGTGATTTAGGTAAGAAATTATTAAAGATGAATAATTTTTTTGGGCATTTTAAATTTATTTTTCCGCACTGTACTCAACGGCTCACGTGAACTTTGGATATACTACTGTAAATGAAATCGCCCGTTGCGCGACGTTGCCGGAAACTTGCTCAGCGCGTCCAGGCAGTGTAGAGTGAATTCGGCAACGCTGGAGCCTAACGCGGAGGCGACCAAGCCGCAGGATCGCGTATGGTGACCATACTAGGGTTAAATTAATGTCTCATAAATGTCACATTTGCACTACCCCACAATAAAATATATTTTATTACGTAAGATCCTAGTGCATCAAAATTAGGTCAACCGAGAGATCCAATGCCAATAATATCAGTCTCATTTTCCGAGAGAGCAGTTAGGGTTATTAATAACTCCGTGGCTCCCAGGATGAAAATAGGATGATCAATGTTTCCACTAAATGGAGAGGAAAGTTGGATAACACTTAGCTAGAAAATCGTGGCGAATGTTGCTGTACTGAAGATAATCGAAGAGCAAATGCAGTTCAATGAAAAAATATCCATCTGCGGAGGATATTTTACCATTCGTTCGGTAACAAAAAACACATCGATGGATGCAACAATTACCCTTCTATACAGTAAAATTCCCCACACCGGTAGGATATTTTTTTTGTACTCGTCCGAAGCTCATGAACGCGTTCGGTAAGAAATCATTCTTCGTTACAGAAAAATTATACGTAATATTGAGCAATCATTCACGTTCACAGGGATCATGTTTGATCCCTCACGTTGATGAAGTGTTCCCGGACCAACGGAGAAAAATTCACTATTCATTTCGCACTTTTTCCCCGATATACACTGAGAAAAAAACGACAAAGTTCTCAAACAAGTCTTATTTGTGCCAAGAAAATATTTTTTTGAAAATTATCAAAGAAGCATTTTTTTGTGCCAAACATGTAGAAAGTGCGCCGGAATGAAAAATTTTTATCACAAAAATAGGATTAGTAGTTAAAAAAAAATTCCATTCTCTGTACACGCAAGAAATGTCATTTCTAGCACTACTCCTTCGTTATTCGATACTCCCATACGTATTTTGCTCCCGAAAAATCTTTGTTTTATGTGAAACAAGGGATAGTAGTTTTTCGGTTCGACTGTCTAATAATCACAGACAAGAAATGAACCCTTAAATGAAACAATAATAATGATATGATAGCAATCTTGTAACTTAGGGATAAAATATTTGTTGATAAATTTTTCTCTATATGAGATATTTTCATCCTGAAAAGGCACCGTCTATCCGCCTCTTGAGCCAAATATTTCGTTGCTGTCGACAGCAGAGCAATTATTCATCTTTGAGACTTTCAAATTCGAATCAAACAATTTCTTTGTTGGCAATTTTCAACTAGCGACTTTGTTGGCCCAAACAAAACTTGTTCGACAACGTGTTTGTTGTTCTGTCAGTGCAGGGTGAAAAAGTAGTAAGGATGGGGTTCGCTCCGCGATTACTTGACTTGTTCGGTAATTTTTCTCCAATTTTTTTCTCCCTCTATAAATTGAATCCTCGTGGCTTTTACTATGAGTCAATACACCCGGTAAAAATCGAAATTCTATTACTATGTGACACGCGTCGTTGTGACAATTATAAACTTGACAGGTGGAAAATATGGACTGACATCACCAACATACAAAATCAGTATTGCTCTATCCGAGGCGTTTCCAGATGCTCGGGACACTCGGGTTTATGTTAAACATTATGTAAAGTAAGGAACGTGATCCGTCTCGTGGCTTCTACAGTTGTCTTATAAACCACTGCCGGACCCACACGAGAGGATGATTCGTATTTTTCCTCGCTTCAGTCCTCTCCCGACAAATTAATATACATCGAAGGACCTAACGAATTCGACAGGTAATTCTACTGGATTGTTATTGAAGTTCTATTGAAAATTCCGTTTGTTTTTGGTCGATTCTGTTGAAGAATTCCGCATTATTTTCTTTACGGCGTATTCCTTTTATATAAAAAAATCACTAAAAGAAACTATTTTATAGGAAAATCAGTAAAATTTCATCGTTCTATATAACTTTCTCTATTGAGACATTTTCTATGAGAATTTCTCGACATTAATTTTTCAAATTTTTTTCGCTCAATTCTTCTTCGCTTTTCATTCGAAAATTGACTGTGGAATTTTTCAATAGAATAGACCAAAAACTAATGAAAGTTCAATAGAAATTCAATACCATTGTCTAGCGAATTCACCAGATTTTCCGATGATTTGTTTTCGTACGTGTTGTTTCTCTAATTTTGTCATCACCCATTGAATCGATTATTAAATTTCACCTTTCTAATTTTGGAAATTCCAATGTCAATTGAATAGTTGAAATCCACGCACTGAATGACATAACACAATTTTTTCATTCAATTCTTCTTCATTTTCCATTTGAAAAATCAAACAAAAAATAGAAAATTTAAGACGAGGAATTTCTATTGAAAATATCTCAATAGGATATAGAATAGCTGTATAAAAAAAACGAATTCCATAGACTTTTTCTATAGAATATTTTCCATTGAACATTCCTATTGACAAAAATGCGCTGCGTAATAAAAAAAAATGGACTAGAGAATTTTTCAATAGAATAGGCCATAAACTAACAAAAGTTCATGGAAATTCGATAGAATTATCTAGCGAATTCGACATATTTTTCAATGAAATTGTTTCGTAGGCGTTGTTCCTCCAATTTTTTCCCAAGAATAAGATGAAGTTTACGGCGACTATCAGAACAATGTCAATTGAATTCTTGAAATCCACCCACTGAATGACATAACACTATCGCTTCAAGTTTATCGGGCCATACACCTGTCAGATACGTGAAACCCAAGTTTCATTGGCTGCGTAACGGTCTCATCGTCCCATTGTCAGGATAATCACGTCGTCGAAGAAAGTATTTCACGTGAATCAATCGTATAAAAGTCAGGGGGAACTTATAAATGATATCACAATAGCCTTTGAGCATCAGTGACAACAACTCAAGCATCATGGCATTTAACTTCGTGGTAAATTAAGAGAACTAATGTCAATTCATCTTCACATCAACTTTTCTTGATTTATCAATTAAAATCTTTCAAAAAACAGGACAAAAACCAATCAATTCATTGATGAATCGTTTAGATTAAATAAATCAACAATACACGGAATGGAACTGATGATAATCATTCCTTAAATAATTCCTTAAATAATTCATCTCAAATCGATTTTTTTCCAGACGAAAATCGTGGTTTTGGTAGCAGTTTTTGGTGTCACAATGGGGGGAATTGTTCCAGCATCTCCAATCGTATCTGCTCCAGTAGTCGCATCAGCTCCAGTGGTAGCTCCAGCTGCAATCGCATACGCAAGAGCAGTTCCTCAGAATATTCCACCATTTGCTTCAAGAGTCGACATCAACACTCGAGCCCTTGCAGCGCCACTTGTCGCCGCTCCGGCCGCACGCGTAGTCGCCGCACCGGCATTTGCAGCACCAGCCGTTTACTCAGCCCCCATCATCGCAGCCCCCGGCGTCTTCGGCGCGACTTATGCCGGAAGTTTGGGCGCACCACTCGCCCAGTACGCCGCCGCCGCCTATGGACCCGCAGTCCTTGGCTGATTAAATTTATGGATATCCAATGTTCCAATTGTAAATCACCTTGCCACTGAAATTCGATTCTTCGTTCACTGAATAAATTTTTTACATACACATGACGTTTTTTCAACTCCACCGTCTGCATGAGCTCACGATGCCGGGTTTGAAACCACGTGTTCGGTAAATTATTCATAATCCATGAAAAAAACTGAGAAAAAATGGATATTGACTTTGATATTAAAAGATTTCCGATGGGAATAAAATCCCGGTCCAGATGAATTGGATTTTATTTCGGAAAAGTCGGGGGAATATTACGTGACGGAAGAGTTTGAATTTTCAGGAACATTTTCTCCTGAAAATTAGTGACTTGGAGTTGAAACTGAGTAGTTGATAATTTCTTGGGAATATATTTTTTAAAACTAATGGAACATTGACATGAACTTCAGATCTGCACATATCCTATTGGGAATCCAATTCGATTACGAATAGCTGGTATAAAGGAATCCTATTTTCCTATTTTAAAAAGAACATACACTTAGAGTCGATAACTATCGATATCTCACAAGTATGTCACGCTTATTCCTCATTGGTTCACAGTCGTCTTAGGCGGCAAATTTAATTCAGGATTCATTTAATTTTGAGATTTCCAATTATTATTATTACAATTACAGCGCACTGTAGCGCGCGTTCGGTCTCGTGAATTGTAAAACTGTGAGGAGACGGGAAATTGTAGGATGAAGACCTTTTCTAAGAAATCCTATAGGAATGATTATTCTCCTCTCAACCTTAAGAGTATTTCATACAAGTGGGCGTTTGACGTAGAGAAGGAATAAGATCGTTTATCATCTAGGATAGAAACTAGTTCATGCAATCGCGGACTTTTAACAAGTGACATTTCGAAGTTAATTCGGGCTAATTTCAGGGGAAAATCAGCGGAATCTGCAAATTTTAGTGCAAGTATTCATTGAAAATTATCTACAATTGAGAAAATTGCATTTTAGACGAGGGGCCCCTCGCAGACGGGCCCCTTTTGTTTCCAAGCGTGGAGTACGCTCGATACAACTAAAATGTAATGACTTCTAATCAACGTAAACTTATGAAATCCATAAGTAATTGAAGCTACAGTATTCCTTTTTTCGTTATTTGTTTGGTTGAGTTAAATCCTATAGTTTTGGAAATGATCAATTGTAAAGAGAGTCATTCATATTTTTATGTTATTTTTTTTAATTGTTATTTTACATCGCTTCGACCCGGTTAGGCTATACTGCGATGATGGACAAGACTTTAAATGGTAAGATCGCCCCATTCTATCCGGCCGGGATTCGAATTCGGAACCTTTCGTATGTGAGGCAATGAACTTCATATTTTTATGGATCGAGGCATGGCATCGACCCCGTACGCGAGGGGTTCAGGTATTTATGGCGTAGTCAGGGGAGATTGACGAAAAGTCAAGAAATTACTTTTTAAATACATTCTTTGGTTTTTACAAAACCCTTACGCAAAAATCCAGATAGTCTAGGAGAATGGGTGAAACACGGAAATTTTTCTAAAAATTGCAGGTGGCTGGATCTTCGATACAGCTCTCCAATTTCCTAGAAACTCCTTGCTTTCCCTCGAATTTTCTGAAAACTCCTAGAATTCTCTCGAATTCTCTAAAATCTCCTTGAATTCCCTCGAATTTACTAGAAACTCTCAGAATTTCCTCGAAATTTCTAGAAACTTCTCGAATTATCTCGAAATGTCTACAATTTTCTAGACTTCCGATAGATGGTGCTGCACATAAGGATCGTTTCCCAAAATGATCCCCCATATTGAAACCATAGACGTATCCACATTAAAAATGCATTTTAACACGGGCTCTTATGGCAATTCGGAAAAAAAAGTTAAAAATAGAAAAAAAAATCGCCATTTTCCTGAAATTTCGCACTTGGGGGGAGCTTTTATGGAGGAACATGAAAAAAATAATCCAAATGGCCTAGGAGAATTGTTTATAAGGGACAATTAAAAACCTCATGAAAAATAGAAATTCTGCGTGCGCAACTTGGAATAGCGACAACGTCGAGGTTAGAAATCGTGGAGGGGTAAGCGCGGCAAATACGAATGGAGTTGCGACGATACATTTCGCTATGGGAAGGAACATAACAGCTGAGTGAAACAGTGCTGCCAACTTGCACCTCGAACGGCACGACGTTGTCACTTTTTCTATCCATATTAATTATTTTCCAATTATCTAAAAGACAAGCTAGAAAAATAAAAGAAGGCTTGAAATACATGGGAACAAATAGGAAAGTTATTATAAAAATATTTCGAACGCAAAAATGGTCGAAACAGATTGAAAATTTGTAATTGAAATATCGTTTTTTTGTTCAGCGATTGGTTTTCTGCGAGAGAACAATAGATTGCCCTCCGTCTCAACTCCTACATGGTCACCTCGCCATAAATACCTTAATTAACATGTGTGATAATTGAAAATCCCAAACTCTAAAAATTATTTGGATATTTTTAAACTTAATCATATGCTATTTAGAACTAAATTCGATTAAGAACTTCTTTCACGAGATCTAATCTAATCTAATTTCGTGAGGAAATCGGAGTAAACTACAGATTATTTTTTATTCATATTTCTTTCCTACTACCATTATTGTCTATTCAAAATCTACAATAAAAACGATATAACATGGATATAAACTCCACATCGAAATATTCCAAGCAAATAACTTCCTGAAAAAATTAATTTGTAAAGCAAAATTATTAGAAGAGGGAAAACTACGCGATGGAAAATTTTCGCCCCAGGAATGTCCATAACCAATTTTTATTTTCTCAACCTCAGGAACATTTTTCCACAAGTGGGTGTTTAACATACACGAGGAATAAGATCGTTTACGATCTGGAATACGAACTAGTTCATGTTTTGCCTCTTGTTTTTCACGGTAAACCCAGACACCGCGGAACCTTGAAGTGTATCCTGCTCGAGTGCCCCTGTACGAGCGAAAGGGGAGGGCCATGGATAAAAATCATCGAAAGCATTGAGACCCAGGTAAATTGAATTCAAATGCCATTCACCCTAGTGCGTCTGAATCCTATTAACTCGTGCGGATAAACATCTCACCTTCACTGACCTTTCCGTTGCACAGCTTTTCCGTTGAATGTTTTGGGGTTGTGAATTTTCCGACCCAAAGGTCAGCCATTATACTATGCTAGATTGATTCAGAGGTGATGGCATAATACGTCTTTTTGAGTGACCTTGATACTTTTGACTTTGCGATTGCGTCATGTGACTAAAACATGACGATCTTGCGACGGTCATGTGACGCGAAAATTTTTTTACTGCAAAACTACTGAAGATTGTATTCAAATTGTAGGGAATTCTCGTCACAATTCTATTTGTTTTTTGTGCTGATTCTACGAGATATCTAATAAGAAAAAAGCAATTGCTTTCGCTTTTTCTATATGAATAGGGGAGCATGGGGCAAAATGAAACACGGGGCAAAATGAAACAGTGGGAAAATCTCGTCATCTAAAGGGGATAGAACATTTTTGAAGAGGACCTTTTTTGTAGCTTGTAAAATTCTCTACAAAAAAGGTTTTCATGAAAATCGTCCTATCTCCCTTAGATCACAAGATTTTATTGCTGTTTCATTTTACCCCGTGTTTCATTTTGCCCCACCGTCCCCTATGTTCTTGGAATTTTTCCTGTAAGAATACTGCATGAATTTTCTAAATTTTTTCACTCGGATTCTGTAATGCAAAACAAAACAAAATATAGCGGAAAAAACGTAGAAAATTGGTGACCAATAATTTTAATAGAAAAAATCTCAAGAATTGAAAGTTTCTCTGAAAATTTGAGTAAAGCCACAGTTTTTTAGTGGCAAATAGACAGAACATTCACAATTTACATAAATTTTCAAGGGAAAATTGATAGTCACTGCTAAATTCCCTGAAAATTCAGAAGAATCTGGAACTCAAGGGAAGATTTTTCTGAATTGTCCAGATTTTTCATTACCTTTCCCGGAATAATTAAACTGAAATTGACAGTTCTCATGGATTTTTCCTCGAAATAATGAATTTTCAGTGACAAAATTCTTCCAAATTCCAGTGGAAAATTTTTAACAGTGTCTAGGTGCATAATGACGGTCATTTTTCAATTCTTTTCCAATTCCTAGAGGGATTGGAAATATATATTCGATTTAGAAAATTTTTTCTCATGGACATCTTTTTTATGCATTTCCTTGTAATTTTGTAACAATTCTGCGGTCCAGTAAGAACGAACCTAAACTTTTCCTTGGCGCAGTTTTTTTACAAAACTATTTGTACTTTTTTTTACACGGAAAAAAATCTTCCGTAGAAATTACGAAACTCACAGTTCGCTCACCAATTACAAAATCGATTCAGAAAATTTAAGAGACGGTATCGTAATTTTTCACGAGAGATTCAGGTAAAAATTACGGAACGTTCTGGAAAAATATCGTGATTTTAGGCGAAAATTACGTGACAGTTCCGTAAAATTTCCTACAACCATATTTCGCTCCGGAATTACGGAAAAGATACGTAATTTTTATTGAATATTTCTCTCCGCTAAACGGACCGCAGGGAAAAACGGACCCCTAGGGCAAAACGGACCACTGACAGAAAATTGATAATTTTTTTTTTGCATCCGAATGGAGCAAATTCGAAGTCATTTGTGGTTTCAGCTGATTAGCAAATCTGATCAAATTGCGGTTCAACGACACTTGTTGTCTATGAAACGCCTGTGACGGTTACGATTCAAGTAACTCACTTTTAATGCAACACATTCAGTGTTCCTGATTTGAAGGAAAGAAAAAAAAATTACCAATTTTCTGTCATTGGTCTTTTTTGCCCTCCCGCTCCGTTTTGCCCTACCCTCCCCTACTGCATCCCGTGCCAAACCCATCAACCCCTGACCCACATCTTCCCGAAAGTGAATGGGTACTTTTACAGGGTTCAGGAGCTGCAAATAACCTAGCCTGTTACCCTCTGCTCATTGATTCCACGTGGGAAGTGAGGAAAGTGAAAAGAAAATAGGTCCATGTGGGTGGCAGAACCTGCCACTGACGCCTCTCAGCATGACAAAATGTCGGGCTGCAGGCGATTATTCTTCAAAGCTTTATTGTAATGAATTCTCCAAATAAATCGAATGCAGAAAAATAAAAGAACAATTAACCCCTCTCGTGCGGGTCCCTTCTGTTGCCAAGTCTAACGAGGACTCAATATCACTGAGATTCGATAATTTCAGATGGATGAAAAATTATAAAACCCATAGGTAGTTTAATTTCAAGGATATTAATTTGTTGAGCCTGTTTTGTGAAGGGATGTAACTTATTAATTCTAAAAAATACCCTGAAGTAATAATTTCGTATATTGAAGCGGCTCTTTATTAAGAAAATGTTCCTGTTGCACCCTTTGAAAGGGCGCACTAGGGTTTGGTGGCAATAACTGCGACATTGACGGTATTAAGACTAGTGCCGCACGTCCTCGCATTTTACGAAAGCAAATTATTCGTGACATGCACGATGAAAATGTTCTGATTGACACAATCGTCAGTGGCTCCATTCGCCGGGACTTGAGGGGAATATTAAGGCGCTGTTATACCCGATCGCATAATTCTTGCATGCTGTGGTTGAAGGGTATTTGTGATTATATAAGAAGGCGGCATAATACAATAATTTAGGTTTCAATCAGTTATGTTCATTCCAGAGATAATTATAAATTAATAGATTTGAAATGAAATTGCTGTTGGAAATTCTACTAAACTGTTCAAAAAATTATAATTTCATGGACAATTAGTACTAGTATTCAGCAGAGTTGTTGATTATGCATTTATGAAAATACCTTTTTTACAACTGTATAAATTTTCCCCACACTGTTAAAAAAATTTGATTGATATTTCTGAAGAAAGACCTTGAATACGATTTAAGCGAAAAAAGTCAATGGAATTTTCAAGTTTCTCTAGAAATTTCACGTAAAGTCCCATTTTTTTAGTGACAGAGAGATAGACATTCCACTATTTACATGAATTTTCAAGTAAAAATGAATATTCACTACCAAATTCTCTTGACTTTTCAGGGAATTCCCTTAAAATTCTTGGGATTCCAGGAGTTTCAGAATGAATTCCGTGAAAATTCAGGGAAATCTGGAGTTTAAAGACATATTTCCTTAAATATTCATGAATTTCCCCGGAATAATTTAACTAAAATTTACAATTCCTACCTGTTTTCCCTGAAATTATAAATTTTCAGGGAATTCCCAGAAAATTCAAGGGAATATAGAAATTAAGGACATATTTACCTGAATATTCATTAATTTCCCCGAAATAATTAAACTGAAATTTACAGTTCCCACCGATTGTCCCATGAAATTATGAATTTTGAATAACAAAATTCAATAAATCATTAATCACTAATTTTTCTAGAATAATTAATTTCCCACGGATTTTTCCATGAAGTTATGAATTTTCAATGACAAATCCTCTGAAATATCAGTGAAAATATTACTTGTTGGAAATTTCCAAAACTCTTCTCCGAAATTTCAATGAAGAATATTTAACATTGCAAAAGTTGTCCTCACATTTTCGTCTAAAATCCTCATCGAATTGTTCCCGTACATTTCATCGCTCTCCTATCAATTTTTTGCATCTCCCTTGCCTCCAAGACCATCAAAAATCGATGATTTACAAAAGAATAGAAGATACCCCATAAACGTAAACCCAATTTCCAAAAGTGAAATTGTCCATATTTCGGTAACAATTCACCCAGATCCGGGTTCAAGATACGTGTGCAGCATAATTGTCCAATTGAACTCATTTTATTTCATTCAGCAATCTCATCTCTTCTATCCAATTTCCATGTGAACTTGGAACGTGAATCCCAAATTGAGTAAAAGCGCTGGATTTAATGCGCTTCATCATTTCGGGCTGATGTGAAATCCTTGAAGGATTTAATTGCATGCGGTTGAAGGGTGAAGAGGGGGACAAAGAGACTTGAACTTCACGTCACGTGCTCTGTTTTCGCATTAACAAATAAAACAACGAGACCTGAGGGGGGGGGGGGGGGGG